GCCTGTGACCTCCCTGTCCACAGGCACTACACCCACCCGCAAGTGTCCAGGAATTTGGTTGTGGTATTTCATTTATTATCCTTGTGGTTTACAGGTACCATGGCTGCAGGCTGATTACTCAACAGCCTTATTACACTCCTCAGTGACTAATAGATTCTTTTTCTGTTTATGTTTTAAAGCCATAGCAATAACATTGGCTCTCAATGACACCGCTGAAATCACCATTATTCAGCCTGACCCTACCTACATAATAAACAGACCAGCAGAAACATCCCTTCTTAGAAGAAGGTGACCTCTGCTTCTCTCACGGTGAGAGCAGGTTCTCTTGACAGTGAAGCTGGTGTATGTTGGATAGGTGGATGGGAAGGTGGATTCATGAACCTTGAGGATCATAGGATTAGGTCATTTCTCTGGTCCCTTGCAGCTCTGACCTACACACTGAACCTCATCAAAGGGAGGAGTTGAACTGAAAGTTTGAGTGTGGGGTTAAGAGCCCAAGGAGGACTCAGACAGCCTGGCTTTTGGTCCTGGTTCCACCACTTGCTGGCTGGGTAACCTTAGGCAAGTCGTATCCTCTCTCTAAGTTGTCTTCTTATCTGAAAAATGGGGAAAATGAGGTGACCTCTTCTGGGAGGTAGAGGCAGGGAATAGCAGGAAGCACTTAGCATAGTGCCTGGCATACAGTAGGAGCTGAAAACGGGAAATTGTTACTATTAGGTAGATAATGAGCCCTGGGTATTGGGCTGAAGCACAATAGGAGCGGTAGGGCTGACAGCGGGAGGGCCCGATGGAGGGTCAAAACCCCTAGAAGGGCAAGTCAAGGGCTGGCCACTGTCAAGGCCACCTGGCATCTCCTTTCTGACCAGTTTTGTCTATCAAAACTGCAATAGCCCAGCACAAGAGAATGGCCTAGCACAAACTCCAGCATAGACCAGAGCCCCAGCATCTGTCACGCAAAAGTTCTGCTAATTTCTTTAGTAGGAGGGAGCAGGGGCTGCTTCTGATCTGGTTCCTGCCTCCCTGGAGTGGGAAGGGGGCGGCACCTTCATGGTTGTTTGGCTACCCCACCCCACCCAGGTCTCTTCCCCAGGAGCCTGCTTCTCACCTGCCATGGGCAGGACAGACCTATCTATAACCATCTGCAGGCTTGTTTCCCTCCATCTATGATTTTCCACCCTGTGGGGCTAAATGCACCATATTATGCTGAAATGGTTTTCATAGATAATATAGCCTGACTCCACACATGTAGGAAAAAAGCCAATGTAACCAGTAGTGAGCTGGTAAATGTTTAATGATCAAATCTCTGAAGCAAGAAAAAAACCGAACTTGATTTATCCATTGCCAATTTCCATGGTATAAGTACTTCCACCACAGTTTAAAGCTATCAATGTGATGACAATGAATGTGGAGTTGGGAGGAAATGCATACGGTCTGGGTGGTGTGACATGGCTCCCACATACCACTGGATAAAACTGAACTAAAGTGAAACAAATAGAAAGTATAACAAAAATACATATTTCATTATTTTCATGTTGAGGGGCAGCTACCCTAAGAAGACAATAAAAGGGTCAATATGCAGGCTCACTGTGATTGCAACTGCTGTGCCTATGGACTGGGCCAGGCACAGTAATTTTTCTAAAATAGTGAACCAGTTCCAACAATGTTCTGAATAAAGGACCATCTTCCTTCAACTTACAAGGTGGTTGTGTTCCTGGAAAATTCAGGGTATGTTAGAAGCATGCAAAAAATACTTCATGCTTATGCATAAAACAGAGTTGGGTTTGAGGCACAAGCAAGTATAAATAGGCTTTTCATTCACCCAAATACCCCACAAGACTTCCAGAAGCCCCACTCATAGAATGCCAATGGACACCCCCAGTCACTGTGAATCCAAAAACCATCCCCATGGATTTCTAGCACAGCCCCTTGGCTTGGCACTTGGCACCTGCGGGCACCCACTGCCCCAAACACACACCTCTTCACCCCAGGCAAGTCACTGTCCAAGACCCCAGCATGCTAGGAGCTTCGCTAATTTGCTCATATACTTCCTTCCACCTGGAATTCTATCTTCCAAAATTCTATCCTGGAGTTTAGCCATCCACCCATCCATCCAACCATCCATCCAGCCATCTCCTCTGTCCGGGACCGTCCCAGTACCAGGACCTGAGGACCCAGGATGATGTCAACCTGACTCCCTGTCCTCAGGGGGCTCCCAGGGGAGTGGGGAGACAGACATACAGAGAGACGACAATGACATGCAACATGCCAAACGAGAGGACAGAGGTGAGCACCTTTGGCCAGTGTGGTTTCCAGGCAAGAACACCAACTTTGGTCTTGACCATCTGAGTTTGACCCCTCCCTGGGCAGTAGTAACTATGTGATCTCAGCAGAGTGACCGCTGTCTTTGGATGTCAATTTTTCTCAGATACAAAAATCAGGGGAAGTAGAAAGCCCAACTCCCAGGGCTGTTGTGCAGATAGACTGGGATAAAGCACATGGTGAGCCCACATGCCTGGCAGAGAATCAGAAACAGCCTGTCACCAGTCCTTCCCAGTAGCCCTGTGTAGCTGACTGCTGGCTCCTGGGGTAAATAGGCTGGTCTGTGAAGACCAGGTTGGGCAGATTTCTGCTGATGGGACAATTAGTAGATAGTCCTGGGCTTCCTATGCCAAGAGTCACAGTGATCTTAACTTCCAGAGCTGGCCAGATGCCCTCCCTGTGCCCTTGTGTGGCTGGGTGGGGATGGTCAGCCGGGTGAGGGCCCACCATGCACCAAGCTGAGCCCCCGCTCTGAGCCAGCCTGACGGCCTAAGACGCCGGGGGATAACAAGATGAGCTGGACAGTCGCTGACCCCAGGGAGCCCCAGTCCAGCTGAGAAGCAAACACACCATTGGGTCATTGGCGCCTCCTCTTCCTTTTGGCTTGTCCACATCACTCCCCTGTGACCTCCATGTTACTAGATGGCTAGTGGCCACGCTTCAGTCCCCAACGTGCACGTCCTCTCGGCTGCCTCTGGCCCTGCTGACCTCCCTCCTCCTCGGCCCCTGCGACAGACCCCACACTTTCCTGGGCCTGGGGCACCTCCCTCAGAGGCAGGCTCCAGCCCTGGCTCTGGCCCTCCTCTGCTGCATGACGCCACCTCAGGGAGGAGGAAATTGCCCCACTTCCCTCACTTCCCCCCAGCCCCAATACACTCCCCACCCCATGGCCTACAAAATAGCAAACAGCTGCTGTGACCATGGGCTGCCCAGACCCCAGGGGCCTGGGGGGAAGCAGGCCAAGGGGAACTTGGAGGGAGAGCTCTTAATAACATACCTTCCCCAAGCTGCTTCCAAAGAAACTTCTCCTCACAAATCATTCCATAAACACTTAGCAGGCTCTCAGGAAAGCGCGCACGGCTCTCACCCAGCTATTAGGAGGCTCCTCACAAGTAAATTGAGACCAGGCAGCAGAGGCCTGTGCCAAATTCCCCTTCCTGCCCTCTTCCCACATGGCGTCCTCCTCCCCCACCCCGGGCCCTTCACTTCTAAGGACTGGGGTCTCTCCTTTGCTGTTCTGGCCTGTCCTCAGGCTCTGGCCCTCGTTCCCTGCTGGGCAGATGGTTCCCCGTTTCCCTGGAAACCAAGCCCCTCTCTGACCCAGGTACTGGCTTTCCAGGGGCTCTCCTCAGCTGCTGTGTAGGCCTAAATCCTACAGGACTTCTGAGGACCACACCACCGGGCCAGGCGTGGACAGACAGGGCTGGTCCACTCCCCCTCTCTGTTCCAGGCACCCTCAGTTGAGGCTGCTGGTGCCTCTCAGGCTGGGACTGCTCAGTAGGGAAATAACTACAGGTTCATCCAAGTCACGAGCTGGAAAATCCCTCCCATCCAACAATCCCCCTCCAGGGAGAATGTTGTGCAACTCATCTGGCTAATATCCAACACTTGGCTAATATCCAGCACTTGGGGTATTGCTTGATTGTTCATAAGTTGACACATTTGCTTACAGGTTAGCAGCTTGCCTGTGTGGTGACTTTCACTGGGGTATTTGAAAATACTAGTAGTATTTCAATTACCCAGTATCGCCCTCCATAATAACTGGCTTTGGAAAACACTTCAAGGATGACTGCCCCTTTTTTCCAGGTTTGCCCAATATCATTTTAAAGAACAAAAGCTCTATTGTAAACAAATCACTGGCAAAATAAATAAAACATTCTGATGAAAATAAAACAAATATTTGTGGGTGCTGAAATCAGCATTGGATGGGCTTTGAGAGACAGGCCTTGGTCACAGATTTTGCATCAAGTCCCAGCCCACCACTTCCTGGTTGATTGTGAGCAAGCCTCTGCAAACCTCAGTGTCTTCAACTCCAAGATGGGATAAATCCTTCCACCTCAGAGAGTTGCACGCGCTTCACCCTCTCTGTACTTGTGGCCAATGGTGGCCCCCCGGGGAGCTCAGAGCCAGGACCACCGCCATTCACTCTGAGAGTTCAGTCACAGGCCATTCATTCAATCTTTCTTTCAGCAAATATTTAGGGAGCCTCTTTTACACCAGGCACTAAGCAAGATGCTGACCAAGACAGCCACAGGCCCGCCCCAGGAGGAGCGAACAGAACAGGCGAGGCAAGCACGGAAGGCTGTGTGATGACTTGCAGGTGTGGTCAGAGCTACACTGTCCCTGAGTCAAAGGGCTGAATATTTCCTTCCACGGGATAGGAAGTCAGTGCCAAGCTCAAGGCTGCAAGGAAACAGGCCCCAAATGCACCAGGGTTAGGGATGAGACTGCCAGGCTGCTAGCTGCGGTGGGAGAAAGAACGGAGTGGGGGGCGGGAGCAGATGTGTGATAACGGGCCTGCGGCTGCTGCTGAGGATAAAAGCACTTAGAATGCCCCTCTGAGGGCACCTATTTGGGGCTCTGCTTCACTATCATGAATCCTCATCACGCTCTGTAACTCACAGTCGGGACCCTGAGGTTCACAAAAGTGAAATGAGTAGTCCCGTGTGACACATCTTGGAAGCAGAGGGCTGAATGCAAACCCGGGGCTGTTGACTTCAAGATAAGATGATAGCAGACCCCATGCCTGGATCTGAAACAGAGGGTCCCCTCTGGAAACTGAGCAAAGTGGCATCTGTAGGACTCAGTGGGTGAGCAGGAGGACTTGGGACAGACCCTGCTGCCTCTTCCAAAGCCCTTCTTCTTAGACATCAAGAGCCTAAATTTCCAGCTGTGGTGCCCTGTCCCTCTGCACTTAGCATCACCCTCTTCAGACATCTCAGTCCCTGATATATTGCTGGGGGTCAGGAGGCTTGAAAAGTAGAAATTCCTTAGCTGCACACATACGACCACGGCAGCCTGCTCTGACCTGTGTGCCTGTCCTCAGCGGGCCCTCAATCACATTTCACTCTCCATCACACCCAGGCTTTTGCTCACCTGTTTCTTCCCCCTAAAATGTTTTCCCCACTTTCTTCTACTGGAATCCAACCCATTCTTCAAGGCCCAGCTCAAAATCCGTATCATCCTGGAACTTTTTCTGATTTTTCGCCTCTGGTAAGGTGACATGAGAGGAGAGAAAAAGCGTAGGTTTTCATCTTAGGCAATCTGGCCTTGGCATATAACTAACATGCAACCATGAACAAACCAAATTAGCTCTCAGGCTGTTTTCTTACCTGTACTATAGGGCTGATAAGCCTTACTTCATGAGCTAGTATGATTATAAAGTGGAGTTACGGATATTAAACTTCTTTGTAAATGGTAGGGTATTGGAAGGATATTATTTATCATGACAGTCCCATCATCATATAAAGTGACAAAAATTGGCTAAGCAAGAAAAAACATATTTACTCATACAACTAAAAACTCCAAAAACATGAGAATTACGGCCATGGCTTTACTCAGGGGCTCAAATTCTGTCCCCAGGACCTGTTTGGTCCATCTCTACCTTCTCCTGGTTTCCATGTTGGCTTCATTATTAGGCTCTAGTCAGGTTCAGATCCAGCCTAAAAAAAAAAACAGTGAGTACCCCTTTCTCATCAGTCCCAGCAAGTATTCCGATATTTAACCTTACTGGTTCTGAGGTCACGTGTCCGTCCCTGAACAAGTCCCTGTGGTCAGGAGATGTGTTGGTCTGATAGGGCAGACCTGTGTCTCTCAGCCAGCTGTGGGCGGTGTGACAAGGGGACAACACTCTGCAGTATGTGAACCAGCGTGTAGGGAAGACTGCCTGAAAGGAATGATTGCCTCCAAGCAAAATCACAATGCTGTCACCAGAATAAAAGGGGAAATGATGTTGATGGCAAGAATAATAACTGCCCCACACAGCCCACCCCTTGATGGACTAACATCCACACATACCCTTATTCAAAAACAAAATAACACTTCCCATCTCTCCCCCTCCAGCAAATGGAAAACAAATCAAAGCCTCATGTAAGGGCCAAGTCCAGAATTTCTGGGTGAGTTAAAGTCTTTTCCTTCAGGGTTAGGTGTGTCCTGAAGGTCCTGCAATACGCAGCCTGAATGATAACCACCCACACGCCACTACTCCACAACGGCAGAGGCCGGACACAGCACCTGCAACAGCAATGCTGTGGGGCCTCCAGTCCATGGCACCGATCGGTTCCTGTTGGATAAGAAGAGCAGTCTCCCAGTCCTGACAGATTTGGATGGAGCAGTAGGCAGAACAATGGTCCCCAAAGAAGTCTATAGCCTACATGAGTATGTTATATTAAAAGGCAAAGGGATATTAAGGTCCTGTTAATCAGCTGACCTTAAAATTGGGCAGTAGTCCTGGATTACCCGCATGAGCCTAGAGCAATCATAAGGGTCCCTGAAAGTGAAGGAGGGAGGCAGAGGTGTCCATGCCAGCATGTTGGGATGTGAGGAGCAATCAGCCACTGCTGACTTCGAACAGACAAAGGGCCACAACCCAAGGAATGCAGCGGCTTCTAGAAGGTGGACAAGGGAAGGGAAGGGAGTCTCCCCAGAGCCTCCAGAAAGGAACGTAGACCTGCTGACATCTCACTTTCAGGCCTATTTTGGACATCTGGCCTACAGAATTGTAAGATAATAATTTTGTGTTGCTTTAAGCTATTAAATTTGTGGAAATTTGTTACAGCAGCTATAGAAATGAATACAAATAGCAGAACAACAAATCCTACTACCACAATACGCCTTTTGATCCTATTTTTATGCCTCAGGCTGGGCATTTAACAGATATGGAGGCCACTCTTGGCCCCCCAGACACCTTGGGAGGAGGGTGTGACCATTCTTAAGTCACCGTTGAGGAAACTGAGACTTGGGCAACTGCCGGCTCATCCAGAGTCAACCAGCTAGCAGAAGAGGGGGCCGGAATTCAGACCCCTGTCTGCCGGCCTCCAGTCATGCTGGGGACCCCTGAAACTTCCTTGCCCTGTGGGCCTCTCCTCTCGGCTAGAACCCTCCAGGGAAGGGCACCCCCGCCAAGCAGAACCATCCTCCTGCCTGCGGCTGCCCACTCCTCCCTGGCTTCCCTCTTCGCTTCTTCCTGATGCGTGAGACAGCCCCACGGAGGGCAGCCAGAATGTCAGGCACTGGGCCACCAAGCGGGCAATAAATCAAGGGCCAAGTTGCCTGGGCAGCAAGACCAGGCCAAGCTTCCCCACTCTCAGGGGAGCAGGTTCTTTCTCTCAAAATCTAGATTTCTGCTCTTCTCTCTTGTGTTCAGCCTCCAAACTCCCCTCTGCTAAACTGAGAAGGGATTTTGGAATGCATACTTTGTATCAAATGGAGGAAATGTGGGGCTTTGTCTTCCAGGATTTATTCCTCTCTCTTGTCACCTCTGCTCTCGCCTGATCCAGGAATGTCCTGGGGGTGGCTGAGGTGAGGAGGGGCCACTCTGGCTCCTCCAATTTCTCCCTGACAAATGTGAAATGGGTAGGGGGTCTCAGGGGAGGTAAACAGATCCCTTAAAAGGCCTTGTGTGCAGTTTTGGGCTGAGAGTCAGTTCATGCAGAGATAGGGCTCCACAGGAGCATCCTCAGAGCCTGGCCCAGCCAGAGATAGGAAATACCCGGCTGCCTCCACCCGCCCAACACACACAGCTCATCCAGAGGCCTAGGCCTACGTTCCCTTGACTAAATAGGAACAGTTAAGGGCCCCTGATATCAGACCACAGAACCTAAACACATACTTCAAAAGGTCAAATGAGACCCAGAGGAGAATCTAATTTTACTCCTTCATTGGCCCAGAGAAGGCAGGTGACTTTCCTCAGGTCACACAGCACAGCCAGGGCTACTGCCTCTTCAAGTTTCAGTTTCCCTGGGGGTAAAGTGCAGGCCTGAGAAGCTCAAATGAGGCAGAAATTGCTAAGTGTCTGGGTGTCTGTGAGGGAATTAGTAACAGCCCACCATGGATGGAGCACACACTATGTACCAGGCACCATGCTAAATGCTTAACAAGCTTCATCTAATTTCATCTTCACAACACTGTGCAAATCTATCGTTTCCCTCATTTTGTGGGCAAGGAAACTGAGATAACAAAGGAATTTCCAGGGGGATGAAAATCTATACCTTAATTCAAGTGGTGGTTACACAGGGATATGCATATGGGAAAAGTTATTGAGATGTGTACTTTAAGATTCGTGTACTTCACTGTCCATTACACTTCCATTTTTAAGAATGCCGTGATAGAAAAAAAACTGAGGCTCAGAGAGGTTAAGCAACTTTCTCAAGATCATACAGCTGAGAAGCAGCAAAGCTGGGCCTGAACCAGATCTGACCACAGAGCCCAAGGTCACTACCCTTGCCTTACTGGTGTGTCACAAGTCAGCATCACAGTGATTCTACCCCCTCCTCAAGTCTGCAGTTCTGTTCCAATTTGTTGAACCCAGGACTCAAGGGATGACAGAGGTCTAGGAGGCTGGAAGAGAAGTCTAAACCTGGACAGAGGGCAGGGGCCAGGCTGCTGCTGCCCCATGTGGGGCCTCAGTACAAACCAGAGCAAGCTGCTCTTTCCCCTGGCAGCGTGGCCGTACACCAGGGCAAAGGTGCACAGTAGGGCTGTAGCCCCCAGCCCCTCAGTTGGTCCTTTGTGCAGTGCACAACCTGAACGCAGCCCTGGCAGAGGAGCCTCAGGGCAGACAGAGGGTATGTCACCCACACAGTGGACTTTGGGCTGGGGGAAGTATATTTCCCTACCTGGGTACTTCTGATGTCCTCCCATCTGTCTGGAACTCAGAGGGCCTCTGCTTTGGGTATAGGGTACTCAGCCACAGGGCACACACAGTGGCCACTGCCACTCAGTCACCCAGCAAATGCTTGGAAAGGGTCCCTCTGTGGCAAGTCCTGCACTGGCCTCTGGGGACAGAGCCGCTCAGACCCAGTTCCAGCTTTGGAGCAGCCCTGAGAGAATGCAAGAGCTGCAGGAAGGGATAAATGACCAAAAAGGAGGGGGCTGGCTGCATTGACAAATATAAAAGGCACCCCTTCCTCAGAGCAGAAAGTTGTCCTAATAAATATACAAATCCCAGATAACAAGAATGCAAAGGGTGGTCCCTAAAGTGTATGGGGCCAACCTGCACAGCTGTATGGCTCTCCTGCACCCCACATCTCCAGGCTAAATTCTGACTCGAGGTCTCTCTGACTCCAAAATTGTGCTGCCCTGTAGCATGGCCCCAACCCCTTTCCCTGCAGCACACACACTTTCTTATGCTTGCTTCTCCCACACCTGGGCTGGTAGCTGCCTGTCCAGGCTTCTCTGCCACCACTGCATAAGCAGGCGCTAGATGAGAGATCCCCAAGGCTCCAGCCTGCCTGGTCCATCTGGGTTCTCTGCGTGGGAGTACGTGCAGACCTGGCCTGAGAGCCAGGGCAATGGTCCTTGAAGCGCGAGAGCATTCCTCTTCAATGTGACGTGACCACAGGGGTCACTTGGAGAGGGCGGGAGAAATGGGTCATGGGAGAGAGCGCAAGCATAACGGAACCCCTTCCATCTGCACAGCGGTTTACCCTGTGCAAAGCCTATTTCCACACCTTGGTTCACTGAAGCTGCAAAAGAATGGGTGAAGCAATGGAGGCTCAGAGAGCTCAAGTAACTTGCTTGAGGTAACACAGCCATGTTGCGACCCAGCTGAGCCAGAAAAACCAGCCTGCCTCTGTCCCAGGCCCCTTTCACTCCCTGCCCCTCTATGGCTCACACGGGTGGGCTCAGGAAGGCTGGGGAGGTGAGCCCCGGGGCTGGGCCCCGCCAAGCGCACTGAGGCGTTGGAGCTGGTGATGATGACGGAGCTCCCGTCTGCTGGGAGGAGGTCACGGTCTGCAGATGCCACGGTCTGTTGGCTTTGCAAGAAGGATGGACTGGGAGGCCCACCTGGGGTAAGCAGGCCTGGGCTGGGGGCTCCTACCTCAGGTAGGTTGGGGGGCTCTCAGCAGAGCCGGAGAGGCAGCACCTCCTCAGGCGTCCTGCTTCGCCCCTCCTGTTGGGCTGTGGGAGCAAAGAACCAATCAAAGCCTCCTTTGCTGGGGCAGGTGGGTGGATGGCGAGCAGGCAGGGGTGGTGGAATGTGGGCTTGGGGGAAGCAGGGGGACTTCAGGTCAAGCGCAGCATTCCGTGGCTCCCTTGGAAGGCCAACAGTTCCAACTAGCAAGAGCAGGAGAGCTAAGCATGGCGGCTCTAGAGCCACACTCCTGGGTTCAAACCACAGCCACGTGCCTCTGTATAATCTCAGGCAAGCTACTGCAGCTCTCTGTGTCTCAGCTGAGACACAATTATCTTGATAGCTGATATCAATGTTTACCTCCTAAGGTTATTATGACAATTAACTACAACCCTCATTACTAGCAAGTCATCGCCAGGGCTGGGATTAGGACCAAGGTCTCCTTTCAATAAAGGAACAGTGTTTGAATAAGCAAGCCTCCCCTAGAATTGCTTCCAACATCCTTTCCCCTCTCTGGGTCTCAGTCTTTCCATCTGCAAAGTGAGTGGGCCAGCCTAGTAAGTCTCCAAGGCCCTGAAGATTTTGCCACCCCACCCCCTGCACCCCCTCTGAGTACTGCTGGGGGAGCAGGATCACACAGGTGGCCAGCAGGTCCAGGGTGATCTCCCCAGAAGGGAGGAAGGAAAGACGGTCTCTGTAAAGACATTAGGAGTCGGGGCAGAGGCGGAGGGGGTGTTTGCGTGGGGGGGTAGGGGACCACGTCCCCCCATGTCACCTGCCTATTTAACTGAGGCCAGGCTTTTCAGATAATGGGAACAGGATCAGGATTGAGGGACCCCCAAACTTCTCCCCAGATCTGCTTACCTTCCAAAGACAAAAGATGGCAAAGTCTTCCTCTCTGGATGTGGATTGACAAGGATTGCAGTGTGGACTGAGTTCACACAAAGGTAGGTTCCCAGCTCACCGCTTCCATTTAATGCTTTGTGACATTGAGTAAGACACTCAGCCTCTCTATGCATCCATTTACTCATCTGTAACATGGGAATAATAACCGTTCCCTCCCTGGGAGATGACACATGGGAGAGCTCCATAACCACAGTTGGTGCTCATATGATAATGTTTCTACTCCTCCCTTTGGTGGCTCAATCCAACCACCTTGACGCCACCTAAAATAAACTAGGCCCTGGTGCAGGCTGGGGACACACATAGACCAGCCTCCGTCCCTGCTTTCCATGAGCTCAAGGATCCCTGCTGAGGCCAATGCTGTGGCCAACATGTTGGAACAAGTGGAGGCTTCATGCTGAAGATGGAGGTGATGGGAGGCTTGTTGAAGTTGGATGATCAATACATGGAAGTTCATTATACTATACTATATAATTTTGCATATGTTTTAAGTTTTCCACAATTAAAGTTTTTAAGGATTTTTTCATGAATCACCTAAAACTATGTCAAGTACCACTATATGTAACAATCTTCAAGAAAAACTAGATAGTTCCTCTCTTTCCCAATTCATGGCTCTTTTCCTCCAATCCAGGGGTTGTCAACCAAGGTCTATGCGCCAAATCCAGCTGTCTGGCTGTTTTTGTAAAAAGTATTATTGGAATACAGCCAGACCCCTTCATTTACATATTGCTTGAGGCTGCCTTTGCTTTACAGGCAGAACTGAATAGTTGCCAATAGAGACTATATGGACCACAAACCCTAAAATACTTCCTGTCCTCCCTTCAGAGAAAAAGTTTGTCAACTCCTGTTCTAATCACCCGACCATCCTCTATTAATACTAACAGAAAATTTCACCATGAGAATTGCAATCGTCCCTCCAGCCCAAGCCCTGGGGTGATCTGGGTGACTCTGGGAACATGTAGGTGGCTATCCAACAGCCTGAGTACCCCTGTATCATTCACCAGGCTTCTGTCAATCAGTTCCACTCCCATAGCATGTCTGAAGCCCCTTGAAGGCAGGGCCTGAGCCTGCTCCACCTTTGCATCCTTCCCAGGCCCTCTCCAGACTTCTCCAGTCCCTGTCAGCATTCACCCCCCAGTCTCACCCCAGTCCTTGCCACCCCTATAATGGTTCCACCTTCAAATTCACGGATTCACACCCCAACTCTCTTCCTGGAAACACCTTCTTTCCAGTTTGTTTGTGTAACTAGTCCCACTAGTCAACAACTCAGGGTCTTTTCATAAATTGATCTCCCCACTTTCTCCCAGTCCACAAGCTCTCTTCTTTCCTCCTTATCCACAGTCTTATCATTTCAATAACACTCTTGCTAATACCCCAAACCTATTGTCTTTTTCTCTTTGCACCAAATTTAAAAAGATTCTAACAGTGGGTGAACGCAAATAGTCAGTTTGCAATGCCTAGATCCAAACAGCCAAGTTCTGTGGAAGAAGAAAAGCCACACAGCAGGCAGATTGTTTTCCCTAGTTTCACTGCACACTCAGATGAACAATTAACACTGATGCAAACTCCAAATACACTGACCCAGTTAACCCATTTCCCTTCTATCCATAGTGGCTATTTCAAGCCTTCTCCAGTCTCATGCTGGGATGTAATGGGCTGAGGTGGGGGCAGAGGGTGCCGCATGTGATGGGACCAGCAAATGCCAGGAGGAGGCCTGCAGAGTAGGCATTGGGTGTGGTCAGAGGGCAGTGGGAATGAGGCTGGGCACGGAGGCCGGGCTGAGGACACAGCTACATCCTACGGACTTATAAGAATGCTATGGGCCCTGGGGAGCCACTGAAGGCACTGGAGCAGGCAGTGGCCACCTGGGCGGTGGGTTTCAGCAGGAGCAGGGCTGGGGAATCCTGGAGAGTCCTGGGGAATCAGGGAAGCAGCAAGGGGCAGGGGTGTTCATTCACCTCCCTCTGGGCATCCACCTGACAGGTTACAACTTCCCTCCAAAAGTGTGAGCTTGGAGGCACCCCCAGTGCAGAACCCCACCCACTCCCAGGAAGGCCCAGCCCAACTGCAGCACCCAGCTTCCAGGTCCCTCAGCCAGGGCACACAGCGGCAGTGCCCTCTGGAGGGACAGTCTAGCCCAGGGGGTGGGTGCCCGTGGACAGATTGCCAATCCTGTCTAAGGGTGTTGTAAAGCAGGAAGGATACCATCTTCATACACCCAGTTCCCTGTGGGGTGGAGGAGGCTGACATTTCCAGAGTCCTTCTGTGTGCTGGACCTCATCCTCGATGCTGCCCCACAGCTGTGGGGGGTCAGCATGCGCATGCCCATGCCACAGTCAGGACACCGAAGCCTGGCAGGGCAGGAAACCTATGTTAGACCCCACATCAGTGATGGTGCCTGACCTAGAGGGCACATTTGACAGTCCCTGCCCAGCACTCTCTCCCCATGCCCAGCTGCCCCCAGGGTTTCGCCAACCATGAAAATCCAACACCCCAAGGCAGAAGTTCACATCCATTGCCTCGCATACCTTCCAGAGACGGATCTCAGCCTCGCTTTGCGTGCCTTCCAGGGAGGGAGACGCCATCACAGGGAAGTCCCCTCCCCACTGTGGGCTGTCTCCATCTAGGAGAAAGTCATTTTTCATTGTTCATCCAGAGAGAGCTGGTGATGGTGGCCTTCCAACCTCCCACCCTCAACTCCATCTCCAGGTGGGCATCCATCCATCCCAGTCAGACTTCACAGGATGCACTTGAGGACCCCTTCAGCTTGGTCTCCTCTGGACAAGCTCCAGCTTGCCTGTGAAGCCCAGGGTTCTCTGATACAGGACGTCTCCTGCATGGTCGCGGTCCCAACGCCTCTTGGTTATGCAGCCAGAGATGATGCTGGCATCATTTGCTGCCTTGCACTGTTGGCTCATGGCCACTCTCCCCTCTGCTCTTATCCTGGGTGGTCTGCAGCTGGGCTGAACACAGGCAGCAAATATTTGCCGACAGAGGGAATGCATTGTCTCTGAAGACCACTCGGCAGGTGTCTGTGTGCACAGGAGGTGAAACAGGGGGCAGTGGCTCGGGAAGGAATTGCCCAAGGCCTCACACCTGTAGGGAGGCCCTGACAGTGAGTGACCTAGACCCAACCCCAGCCAAGTTCAAAGGCTGACAGAGAAGACCTGGGCCAGATGGGATACTTAAACAACAGGGTGCAAGTGAAGATGGCATGGAAGGCTGGGATGACAGCTCTGCAGCTGTGTCTGAGTGGGAAAGACCTGGATGAGAAAAGATAGCTCCCAGAACAGGGCAAAGGAAGGGCAGCAGCCACTCCTGAGAACGCCTGTATATCCACAGAGACCCCAGAGGGGTGGTGCTGCACATGAGGGGTTGGGGGTTGGGTGGGCTTGGTATATCAGGGTGCACCTGGGAAAGGAGTGTGGCCATACAATGTGCTGGACAGAGCATCCCAGAGGGTCCCAGGTCCACTCCCAAATGGACTCAGTGCAGCCTCAGCAGAGCCCACATCTCTGAGGTCCCCTCCCATTCCTACAAGCAGGATAATGGTCATGAGAGCAAAGGTAATGAGCAGGTCGCAAGGGCAGCGGTTACTCAGTACAGAGGAACTCACACAAGATCCCCAGGGCCACGTATTCAAACTAGGTGCTATCTCTATCCTCCCTTTACAGATGAGGATGCTGGGACCTGCTGAGACTTCTGCGGCACAAAGCCAACATGTAACAGGAGACTTGGGCACCTTCCAGCCAGGTGGCAGGACCTTGTTCACCCTGTGGCAGTTGCCTCCTTGCAGCTTGCCACCTGGGCCACTCGTCTGGCCCAGAACAGCCTACACCTGCTGTTGTCCTTAGAACAGTTCACAAGTGGGACCCTGGGCTTCCCACTTGTCATGTGGGAAAGACTGTGTTCACTCCCTCCTGGTCTCCCACTCATGGCAGGGAGAGATGGCGGCCTGCAACTCCTTGGAAAGATGGGGCCTGGGCGGGGAAGAGAAGAATCCTGCCACAGCTGGGGAGAGGTCCTCTGAGTGGCCAAGAGTCCAAGGCTCAGGAGGAACTCAAACAGCTTGCCACTTCAGGCGAGATCCGGCCCAGGCCACAGAGAGGCGAGGGGCAGGGACTAGCCGAGTCTTCCGCAGGGGGGCGGAGGTCTGTGTACTGGAACCTCCCCTGCTGGGTGGCGGCAGAGAAGAAGGTACCAGACAAGGGCCTCAGAACTCAGGGTCTGTGAAGTGGCCTTGAGCCAGCCTCTTGGCTCCTCAGAGCCTCAGTTTCTGCCAACCTACCCTTTGGCTGGTGGAAGAACCCAGCGCCACGATGTGTCTGAATGTCTGTGATGGGGGCTCCCCTGCTTGGTCTTCTTACTCTCATTGTTCATATGTAACCTCAGGGCACCTGTGTGTCTGTCCCAGCAGGGCTCCAGGGGGCAGACAGAGGTTTGCTCTGCTCAGATAAGGGGCCACCTGGCTGGCGAACAGGATGGCAGGGGCACCACTGAGTGATTACAGGGACCATCAAAATAGTCAGGCAAGCCAGGAAAATAATAACATGGCCTGCTCCTTCCTGCTGCCAGAGATCAGATGGGAAAGTTCCAGGTTGGGGCCACATAGCAGGGGTGCTGGTGAGGAGAGCTGTCCCTGTGCTGGCCTGTTTGGGGAGTCCATGTGGATAGCCCCCAGGAAAGCCTGGGCATGGGGCTGGCCTCAGCTAACTGTGCCTCCAGTCTTTTCCTATGATGGGCCTCTGGGGTGAGGCGGGGGGTACCAGCATGTCAGAGGAGCTGGGCTGGGCTGGGCTGGGCTGGGCTGGAGTAGGAAGAAGCCTCTATCTGTGACCTTGGAGATCCCTGGCTCTCTGGACGTTAGGATTCCCATCTGTACAAGGGGGTTTCTTTCAGACTCTACTTCTCCAAGGCGTGTGATCCCAACGGGGCTGGGGTTTAATATCTGCAGGGCCCTGTGGCTGAAACAGACCCAGGGAAGGGGCACCTCACTGAGGTCTCCACAGCTCATTCTGGGCCAGCCCACTGGGGCCTGTTCCTTCACGTCCCTCACATGGAC